GGTAAAGGGGGCGTTGGTGAGCTTATCGGGGGTTATGGACTGCTCTTTTTTTTTCTTTTTTCTTTTTTGTGGGGTGCCAACAATCAGTGACCGTTAGGTGGCTACCAGCCGATCGGCAGCCGACCAATCAAGGGGCGCCGACCATCGGCCTGTGCAACTCTGCAAATCACAACAAAAAAAAAGATGATCACATCATTCACAACCATCATCATCATCATACGTCCGCAAGACGGGCAAAAGGATAAGGTGTTTTTAACTTTTTGCGCAATTGGTATTGATCATCTCACTAATTCCACCATTATCATGAGCAGTCGACCCAGCAACAGCACTACCACAACCCCCATCGTTGCCATCATCATCATCATTCATCATCATCATCATCATCATCATGAACATTGTCACTCTCCACACCATCTCCAAAAATTATCGTGTTCATACTTATCTTCATCATCATCAAGGTAAATCAACTAACCATCAGGTGAATGTGAAGTCTTCCCATCTCAACAGAGTGCTCACCTCACTCTCTGTCGCCCTGTCGCCAATGTCACCAATTGTTCTTACGTAATGCCCATTCGGAAACGTGTACAGCACAAGCAAATGCATGTCAAGGATTCCTCCAAATTCTGCACAAATATATATGGATACGGCTAAAGAAATAGATGTATATATATCAATATCGATATCGATACAATTGATGCAGATATCGATATAGATAGATAGATACAGATATAAATATACAGATATAAATATACGATACATAGATATAGCAAACGCACGCTAAGGATCCGACAGCATTCTGCACTTCTAAATAGCCGGGAAGAATAGACTGCGGCAGACGATGCATATTATTATTATTATTATTATAAAGCGCAAAAGCAAGCAACAAATTACACAAGTGGTTAAAGTTAAAAGTTACCGTTAAACAGATTCCTTTTGATCTCCGCGGCCTCCTGAGGCAGGCTTCGGGTTCATTGTTGGCTTCGGCATCCTGGCTGGTCGTCGAAGGAGATTGGAGGTACCAGCGCACACCAGGTGGTAGGAGCTTGGGTGCTGCTCCCCGCACAGAGGAGAGATAGGTAGACTTACCTCTCTAATGGCACAAATGACTGTGCAGGTAGGCGTGGACCCATAACCTTAGGATAGCTTAGGAATAGCTAGTAGATTTAAACCACGAGTAACTTTGTCGTTTCAGAAAATAGCGGGCCTCCGACCTTTCAGGAGGCCGAAACAAAATGACCGCCGTCGACTAGATTTATCAATGGCAGCCGTCGTCGGGCCTGGCCTCCGAATTCATTGGGAACTGGCGTTTTCCGACATTTCTGAAGCGGCGAAGGTACTAGTAATGTTGTCATAGCTCATTTCTGAGCTGACCCCCCCCCAAAAAAAAGGATCGCATCTTTCTACCAACAAGCCTAGCTCATTTCTGAGCTGACTGCCCCCCCCCAAAAGAGGGTAGCATAGGAAAGAAGTCCTGCTGACAGCTGGTTCAAATACAAGACTTTTTAAGCTGTGAGACTACTACTGTCTTCACCCGAACAGAACGCCCGGTCATTATAGCTGTATTTGGCACAACTTTCGGTCCAGATGCAGCGATAATGACCGGGCGTTCTATTCGTGTGAAGACGGTAGCCATCTGACCAACACACCAGGCTGCTACCCTAACAAAGTGTACACAACGCACAACCATGCCCACCATCTCTGGTAGACTAGCGTCTTCACCCGAACAGAACGCCCGGTCATTATATCTGCATTTGGGCAAACTTTCCATCCGCATGCGGAAATAATGACCATGCGTGCGATTCGGGTGAAGACGGTAGCATCCCTGCCATTCCCATCTGCTTGAAAGTAGACCAAGGTCATAACGCTGCACGTACGTTTTTCAGTAGCAGCAGCAGCACGTGGAGAACGCGCAAGGAGGAGGAGGAGGAGAAGCAGAAGAATGCTATTCTGTGTTCCATATGTGGTAACTGAGCACCTACCTTTTCAATCAAATGTGTGCCAACTAAGACTGACCGCACATGGAACGGCGCGGAATCACACGAATCGTAGAGCAATGCAGGGAACCGCGCGGAAGCGCAGGGTACACTTTTGCAGGGTAGCAGCCTGGTGTGTTGGCTGAAACGGCGGATACGAAACGGCCGAAATCGCAAAAATTGCACAAAATAGCACAACAGGTTGTTCGTTGGTGTTAAGCCACTACTACCTTTCCCTCAAATCGGACGCGGAGTGCGTCCCCTCATGTTTTGGAGGGCGAAAAAATTCAATGACCGCCGATGAAATTTATCAACGGCGGCTGCCACTTGGCCCAGGCCCCCGAAATACGTGGTATAGTCGTGGTTTAAGTAGCACGGAGCAAATGATATTCCCTGCTGAGAAGCACAGAAAAGACTGGCGAGCACAGGCCAAGTTCATTGGTACTATTCAGTGGGGAATAGCCTGTGCCGAACTAGCAGGGACTAATCCACTGCTAACCGAAAAGTCTATTCCCTGCTAGTTTGGCACAGGCTATTCCCCACTGAATAGTACCAATGAACTTGGCCAGCTTTTGGCAGGAGTGTCCAGAGCCCACACACCCGGCTGCACAGGTATGCATTCAAGTCTCTTCTACCTCGTCCACCCGAGTAGAACGTACGGTCACTATAATAACCCCTGTTTGGGACAACTTTCTGTCTAGATACAGCGACAACGACCATGTGTTCCATTCGGCGGAAGACGGTAGACTTCCAAATGGAAGACTCCCAAATCTCTCTCCAATTCTGCTCCTCCTCGAGTGCATCATCCACAGAAACCCCAAATCCTACACCCTAAACCAAGTTCTTTCCTTCTCTTGGCCTCTGTTTCATGCCAATACATTTTGTCCGGTGGGGGGTAGTAATGGCCCAATTCCAGTGTCTTTTTTTCCCCTCTCACACTTATCACGCGTCGCAAGAAATGCAAAGCATTAGTACTTACTACTTATCATAACTTCACAAGCGGACAAAAGAGAGCACAACACTTGCGCATCATACGACAGAAAGGATATCTTGACGTGTTTTCCCACGAATCCACTGCAACAATGATGCGTTTTCCCATAAGATTGCTCAGCTGACGAGTGTGTATGCGAATCTTCGGTATTCGCCGGTCCACCGACACAAACAATGCCCTTGCAGATGTCCCTGCTGCTGCTGCCACTTTTGCCTCCAGTGACCCACAATACCTGAAAGCATTGAAAGATGGGCGAGGGGGGGGGGAGAGAACATACTTATTGGTCTGAGTTGGCGAAAAAGTGAGAACACTAAAGGTAAAGAGAGAGAGAGAGAGAGAGAGGGAGAGAGATGTTGAGATTTGCCAAACTTCACAAAATTTCGTTGGTAGGAGGCTTGGGAGACAGTTGCAGGTGTATTATTTTCAACGACCAGTACGTTTCGCAACTGTTTTGTTTCAACCCACGTAGCATCGTGTTCACGTTCGGTGACCAAACCCGGTCGAACGCGAACGAGTGTCCAAACCCTCTGAACGTGAACATAAGAATATTAAAACAAACAAATAAAAATTTATCAGAAAAATGATAAAAAATCTGAAAAAAATATATGTTATGTGAAATAATAATACGAACAACTTTTGTCTGGGAGGCATGTTCAAATTCTTACCCATCAGAGGGGATGCATGGCTGATGGCTGGAGGGAGACAACAAAGCTATGTTTGCAGGGGTCCCCTGTATAAGTAAGCCTTAGGAGTACTGGTATGTAGGTAGCGAAGGTGAATTGAAAGAATTTGAAAGATGATGAAAGATTTGAGAGAAGAATATAGCGTAGTTAAAAAAAAAAAAAAAAAAAAAAAATCTTAGGCAAACAAGAGTTCGAAATAAAAAACCGAAAAGAAAAAGAAAAGAAAGCTTGGCTGAACACATTCGGGAGGCGTTCGGCCGAATGAACACCTGAACGTGTTCAGGCATTCGCGACAGCTCCAAACACGTTCGGTGTGCTATACAGGTTTCAACACAGCCATATCCGCAGGGCAACTTCCAGGCCCCGGCCTGCTGGATGTGTTTGTCGATCGCCACCAGCCAAAACAAAAACAATTGTGCTGTGCTGGTTCATTTTACGTTTGGCAGGCACGTGACACAGCAAGTATCAGCCTTAGGAAAAATAGGCTCAGCGGTACTCATGGGGTTGGTTTTGTCAGCTCTGCGAGATTAAGAGGCCTCAATGGCTTTCCTTTCACCTGACCCCCCACCCTCCACCCCTTCACCCCCCCCCTACCCCCCCACCCCACCTCACCTCTTACCCCCCCCAAAAGCCTTCTTTCCTTGCATGTGAAATGCTGTTTTCTAGCGGGAATTGGATATCGGCCTCATTGGTTTAGAAAGACTGTCAGAACACCCCCCACTGCATCTGGGAACCCCAGATGGGGCGGGAGGGAGGGAGGGATTGGAGGGGAGGAGCGAGGGTGTTGCAGTACAACGAGGAAGGATATCCTTCTTGTAGAAGCTCAAAGCATGCTGGAGAAGGAGAAGCTGAGTGCTGTTTAAACTTTAAACAACAACAAGAAACAAGATAAATACCTTTCAGAGGGGGTAATTCAGCAACTTTTGACGAAGTTACAAAA